GTTATTCTTGTTTAAAATTTTAAAAAAACTTATTAAAAAATATTTGCTTGGTTTCTATTGACTCAACCCCATATGATGGTGCCGTAAATATATACATATTATATATCAGAACTAGAACTAGGACATCAAGTACTAAGACTATTTATCCACAGCTAAAACCCACCAGAGCCGTCAACATTCCCACACATGTGATTGATCTGAATTTATACTATGCCAACAACATCTCCAAATTTTCTGCGCATGCATGATGCTGATCATCAATTTATAGTATTAGTAAGTTTCAGTTATTAATTAAAAAATGCATAATTACATATGAATAACATATAAATAACATATAAATAACTTATGTATAATCAATTGAACTAATTTTTAAAAATTATTCTTTTCTTACCATTACTTGTAAAATGGAACAATTAATAAATGAAATCAATACAAATATAACTGATATATCACAAGAAAAATGTTCAAAATGCCAAAAATATAAGCCTATAAATGAATTCTTTAATAAAAACAATCGTTCTTGTAAATCTTGTAATTTATGTCGTTTACAGTCTTCAACATACTATAAAGAATCGCTCAAAAATGATGAAAAGAAATATTACTTCCTAAAGAGATGACCAAAAATGTCTAAGATTATTGGTAATACGGAATTTATATATTTCTTTTGTATATTGTGTCCAGATTTCATCCTTTGTTTTAAAAATCCCTTCTAAATTAGGAATAAAGTATGTAAATGCATATGATGTTCCATAATTGAAATAACTTAAGGACATAGATTTTTTGGACAAAAACAAAAGGTATTTTTTTGCAATTCTGTAGAATAAAACTCAATATCAATAAAGTTGAATGAATTATATGTATCATAAGAGCTATAAGTTATTCTTTTTGGTTGTGAATTATTGTCAATCATAAGAGCTCGTTTGAAATGCCAATAACAAATTTGTATTTTGATATTTGCCCATGTTTGTTGTGTTGCTAAAATTTGAGCAAAGTCCTTATCTGTATATATGTAGGTATATATGTAATCAAGTTGATTTAGTCTGAAATTATATAGTACTTTAAAAAATTTAGCTAAAATTTCTGTTCGTGCACTATCTTGCTTATTCCCTTCAACAAATAAGTATGCCATTGCAAAACCTGCACCATTATACTGACCAATTATAGAGTAAAGCTTATATCCTAATACATTCATCTTATAAGTTGCATCTACAAATATTTCTTTATTTTTTTTAAGTTTTTCAAAAAATGAAGTAATAAAGCCTAGAGGTTTTACTCCATTATCATTATTAAACATAATAACTTGAAGATTGCATTCTTCTAAAAAAATTTTTGCTGATTTTATTTGATTAGCTTCACGAATAAACTCATTTTGGATAAATATTATCCACTATACATGAATCTGCTTTTGGGTTATTTCTGGAAAATCTTGCTCTAACATACTGTAAATATCACTTGAGGCTAATTGAAGATTTTCTTTAATTTTTTTTTTAATTTCTTTATTAACCTAATTTTTTTCAGGACGTTGATGAAGTATTTCATATTTAAGGCATATAAGTGCACTATTAGCCAACATATTTATAGTAATTTGAAGAGTACTACACAGTCAAATCATTCTATTGACTCACTATCTCTTTGTTGATTAAGGTCCTGATATTTTCGTGGCTTTTTTGCCAAATTTTGGCACTGAGAACAACAATATTGAAATATATACAATTCAACAGCTTTTTTCGAATAGTAAGTATTCAATTAAATCAGCAATTTTTTTTGAAATTTTTTGAGGACTATCATCTATATCTCTAATATCATCTAATGTAATATCATATTCAAAATCAATTCCAAGTGATTTATTTTCAAAATATTCATTATGGCCAATTGTAATAATATTATTATAAAGTTTTTTGGTCATCTCTTTAGAAAGTAATATTTTTTTTTCATCATTTTTGAGCAATTCTTTATAGTATGTTGAAGACTGTAAACGACATGAATTACAAGATTTACAAGGATGATTGTTTTTATTAAAGAATTCATTTATAGGCTTATACTTTCAGCACTTTGAACTAGGGTTCTGAGGTTTGATTTAATAAGTTTGAGTTTGAGTTTGATTTGAAATCAAACCCAAACTCAAACATTAAATTTTGCAAATTTTT